TGGAGGGGACTTTGTCTAAAGAGCCTACGAAAGGTGCAAGGAAAGACTTCCATTCTGTGACATTTAAACCCTCACATTGAACTTCTCATCCTGCCTTTCTTCCCAACTCCCATTGAAACAGCCAAAGGAAAATAATGATAGGGGAAAATCTGTCATTGTTCAGAACTGAACCAGAATTACACCCACATACCAGACATTTCAGCGAATTTCTATGAGACTTAATGCAGATGAAACAAGTTTAAGAGAAGTGTTTGACAACCTTCAATTCCCCTCACAGACAAGAACTGCCTCTCCAGGGAGGGACCCCCACCAGAACCAAGTAATGTTCCCAAAGTTGGCTGTGACAAGGGCTGTGGACAAAATTAATCCCAGGAAAGTTGGGAGGGGCAATCCCCTTCCTCTTGAAGCATCCAGAAAGGGCCCAGGTACGGGGGTGCACCCAGGGCAGGGGGCCCACTGGGGGGCTCACATTTGATGCCTGGCACAGAGAGAACATTGCCAAGGGGGCCGTGGTGAGGACAGCCAAAGTGGCTCCCAGTTAGCTTGATGTGGTTACAGGCAGGGGAAAGAAATGCTTTTTTTTTTTTTTAAAGATTTTATTTATTTATTTTGACAGAGAGAGACACAGCGAGAGAGGGAACACAAGCAGGCGGAGTGGGAGAGGGAGAAGCAGGCTTCCCGCCGACTAGGGAGCCCGATGTGGGGCTTGATCCCAGGACCCTGGGATCATGACCTGAGCCGAAGGCAGACGCTTAACGACTGAGCCACCCAGGCGCCCCAGAAATGCTTTAATATGAAGGCGAAACTGCTCTTTTGAAAGTCTCCACAGACAACTGGCTTTTAACTGTTTTCTTTCATCCATTCATTCCATGACAAGCCTGTTATGTTCCAGGCACTGAGTTAGGCACTCGGAATTCAACAATGGCCAAGTAAAGTGTTCTCTACTTTGTGAAGCCACTCAGAAGAATTCAGCTTACCTCAGGAAAAAAAAATTATCTTTGTATTTGCTACATAGATGCCAAAGACAACAAAAGAATATACATGGGGGGCGCCTGGGTGGCTCAGTTGGTTGAGCGACTGCCTTCGGCTCAGGTCATGATCCTGGAGTCCCAGGATCGAGTCCCGCATCGGGCTCCCTGCTCAGCGGGGCGTCTGCTTCTCCCTCTGACCCTCCCCCCTCTCATGCTGTATCTCATTCTCTCTCTCAAATAAATAAATAAAAAAAGAATATGCATGGGATTTTGAGGCAGAAATGATTGTGACACAAATTTCTGTTTCTCACCAAGGTATCTTAGACAAACAGCTCTAAAAACATAAACCATTTGGACACCACCCAACTGAGGAAAAAAAAAATGACTCCACAGAAAGTGTTCCAACAAAGCAAATAAACTCAATAATGCAAGAGAAATGGTATAAAAGAAATGGCAGTGAATGATGAAAGCAGAACCTAATGAAGCTAATGCCTGATTTTTAATACATTGTGGCATGCAGTGTTGGATACTGGGAGGATGCACATTTTCTTTCCCTTCTTACTAACAGAATCCCAATTTTGTGTGATTGACAACGTGCCCTGACGCAGAGGATGAAGCAAGATAATTCATTGCCCATTGTTGATGTTTGGCCTAGGGCTGGGTACATGACTGAGATCTGACCAACGAAATGTCAGAGATGGGGTGCCTGAGTGGCTCAGTCAGTTAAGTGCCCGACTCTTGATTTCGGCTCAGGTCATGATTTCAGGGTCATGAGATCAAGCCTCACGTCAGGCTCTGTGGTAGGCGTGGATCCTGCTTAAGATTCTCTCTCCCTCTCACTCTGCCCCTCCCCCCCCCAAAGAAATGTCAGGGAAAATCTCTTGTCAGGCTTCTTAGGGAGGAATTGCTTCGTGATAAATACAGGCAGTGAGGTGCCCTGACCTCTCTTCCTGCCTTGAAGATGGTTGTTTAGGGATGAAGTATCTTGAGTATGACAAATATCTTGTGACCACAAGGAGAAGGCCAAGAGAATCTCCGAGATGCCCACATAGCACCTTGACATGTAAGAGCTGCTGAACCAACCTGGACCTGCCTCCCTTCTCCCTCCTTTCTGTAATTAAATGCCCTTAATGTCTGAGCCACTGTTATGGAGTCTGATATATGAAGTTGAGGGTATGGTTGGAAATTTAACAAAACTATTGAAGATAATTCTTTTTTTTTTTTAAAAGATTTATTTATTTGGGGGGGGCAGAGAGTCTCAAGCAGACTCCACGCTGAGCTCAATGCAGGGCTCAATCTCACGACCCTGAGATCATACCCTGAGCCAAAATCAAGAGTCAGAGGCTCAACCAACTGTACCACCCAGGCACCCCACAAAGATAATTCTTGAAAGAAAACATACATGCATTGATTAGGAGTTGGGATTAAGTCATAATAATTATCTAAATCTAAAGGCCCAGGTTACTATAGAAACTGAGGGGACAGGGTGGCATAGAAGAAGGGGCAGTAAAAATGTGCTTATTTTGTCCTTTTTCATTGAAGAGCTACTGTGAAATTCTTCTCTTTGATAGATACAAAAATTCATTAAAAAATTTAAATGTAACTAGTAATAGAATAAAAACAGAATATGTAGCACCCAAATTCCTGAGGAAAAAAGGGAGAAGAGGTAGAGGGAGAGAGAGATTGAGTTAGTAAGAAAGATGAAAGCCAGAAAGCATATATGTGATCAGATGGTAAAAGTAAGCATACATGTGTAAGTGTTCCCATTAAACATTAATAGTTTTAACTCAACTTTTAAAAGACAAAATCCAACTAGAGGCTTTTAAGAAACATACTCAACGGTGATATAAAAAAGCAAAAACAATTGCCCTGTAAATGCAAACCAAAAGAAATCCAGTGAGGTAATATCATTATGAGAAAACAAAAATTTGTAGCAAAAAAAAAAAAAAAAGGAGTTGGTCTCTAAACAGGATTATTTTGGTCAAAACTATTAGAAATATAAGGAGAACTACAAAGACAAATTATAATCCATTTGTGTGGCAGACTGTCACATTAATGGCCCCTACTGAAGCATATTTCTCATTCCTCATGGCCTTGGATAGTCCCTTCCCATACCAAATCTGGGTTTGGCCATGTGTCTTGCTTAGTTCAGTGGGACTTTAGTAAATAGGATGGTGCAAGCAGAGATTTAAAAACACTCTTGTGCATTAGAGCTTGCTCTCCTGGAATGTTTCTGCCATCATGGGTAGAAGAAGTACAGTCTAGTCTACTAGGGGATGGGAAGGCACATGGAGCAGAAATGAGCCACCATTCCTTAACCTAGCCCCATCTGGTCTACCAGTTGAATTCAGCTGTAAGAGGGAAACCAGCCAACTCACAGAAGCATGAAAAATAATAAAATGTCATTGTTTTCCACCATAAATTTTGAGGTGGTTTGTTATGCAGTAACAGATAATGGATATGTTTTATGAAACCTGAATATTTCTTTTTGCCCATGGCACCTCAGAAGGGTAAAAATGAGGTGAGGTCAGGATGAATTTGAATAATTTAATACAACTAATTTAATATATACAGATCAAGATTTCCTATCCTGCAAATATAAATACATTCCTTTCAAATATTCTTAGAAGATATTTAAGAATCAATTGTATCCTGACCCTCAAATGAAACCTTAATAAATTCCAAGAAGAAAAAACTGTTTAGGCTACAGTCATTAACTGTAATACAATTAAAATAGAACTTAATGACAAAAGGACATTTTATATACAATCACTTGGAAATGAATTTTTTTTCCCTAAATTACTCTTGGATCCAAGAGAAAATTAAAATTATGCTACAAAGTAAGTGATGAAACAAAATCAAAACGTTTGGGATTCAGCTGAAGCTATGCAAAGAAAAATTTGTAGCCACAAGTTTTCTTTTATTATTAAGAAATAATAAATTAAATGAAGTAACAATTTAACTAAAATAGAAATTAAAAAAAGAAAAATCTAAGGAAGGCAGAAATACACGGTCACAATTAAGGCACAAATTAATGAATTAAGAAAAGCAAAAATCAGAGAATGCAAGAGCATTTTTGAGGAAAAATAGTAAAAGCATGGCAAGACTAGTCGTGAAGAGTGAAGAGGAAAAAATGTACAGTGTTGGGAATGAGAAGTGGGATAGAACATATGCAGAAAAGATTTCTTAACTATAAGAATAGAGTATAACTCAATGAATTTGAAAAATCTCATTAAAATGATTCACTTTTCTAGGAAGTTATAAATGCCAAATTGGCTTAAGAAGTAGAAACTTGAAAAGACTAATAATCAGGGAAAAAAGGGAAAAGTTGTTAAATAATTACTCCATGAAAGTATATTTCGGGGCGCCTGGGTGGCTTAGTTGTTACGCGTCTGCCTTTGGCTCAGGTCATGGTCCCAGGGTCCTGGGATCGAGCCCTGCATCGGGCTCCCTGCTCCGCGGGAAGCCTGCTTCTCCCTCTCCCGCTCCCCCTGCTTGTGTTCCCTCTCTCGCTGTGTCCCTCTGTCATATAAATAAATAAAATCTTTAAAAAAAAAAAAAAAGAAAGAAAGTATATTTCTTTCAGCCCTCGAGGAATTTAATGCCCTTGCTTTTTAAAATGGTCTTCCTTCCTCCCTCCCTTCCTTCCAAGATTTTATTTATTTATTTGAGAGAGAGAGAGCAAGAGAGCACAAGCAGGGGGAGCAGCAGAGAGGGAGAAGCAGGCTCCTGGCTGAGCAGGGAGCCTGTTTCAGGGCTCAATCCCAGGACCTGGGATCATGACCTGAGCCAAAGGCAGACACTTAACCGATTGAGCCACCCAGGTGCCTCTTTCTTTCTTTCCTTCCTTCCCTTCCTCTTTCTTCCTTCCTTCCTTCCTCTCTTTCTTTCTTTTTCTTTTCTTTCTCTTTCTTTTCTTTCTTTCTTTCTCCTTCCTTCCTTCCTTCCTTCCTTCCATCCTTCCATCTTCCTTCCTTCCTTCCTTCCTTCCTTCCTTCCTTCCTTCCTTCCTTCCTTCCTTCCTTTCTTTCTTTCTTTCTTCTTTCTTTCTTTCGTCTTTCTTTTTCTTTCTTTCAGAAAGGGGGCCTGGAGCTGAGGGAGAGACAGTCTTATTAACCTGACTCCATGCTGAGCACAGAGCCTGAAGTGGGGCTTGATTTAAAGACCCTGATATCAGGACCTGAGCTGGAACTAAGAGTCGGGTGCTTAACCGACTGCAGCACCCAGGCAACCCCTTCAATCAGTCTTTCAAACTAAAGTAACCCTGGTATCTCAGACTAACAAAAGTAGTAAAAAAATAAACAAAAAGGTGGGGGGGACAAACTAAAGACCGATCTGACTTAAGAGCACAGATGAAAAAAGGTAAATACAATGCTAGCAAGTCAAATCCAAAACATTATTTAAAACAATTTGCTATGACCGGAGTGCCTGGGTGCCTCAGTCAGTTAAGCATCCTCCGACTCTTGATTTCAGCTCAGGTCTTGATCTCAGGGTTGTGAGCTCAAGCCCTGTGTTGGGCTCCAGGCTGGGCTTGGAGCCTACTTAAAAACAAAAACAATATACTATGACCAGGTAGCGTTTGTTCTGGTAATTCAGGTAATATTTTATCAATATAAATAACTACATTTTAAATTGAGATATAATGGACATATTAATTTTAGTTGTAATGATGCAATCATTGTAAATAGCACAAAATGATCACCACAATAAGTCTAGTTAACATACATCCCACTTATAATTACACATTTTTCCACATTTTAATCAAAGATAAAACGTAATTATAGTTGTGGGAAAAGGTCTTAGTTAACTAGAAATAGGCTACTTCATTAACATAAGGAATACCTGTATCAGATGGGCATGGATGAAATCCTTCATTTGAAAACATCAGAAGCATTCCTGTTAGCAGGCAGGAAGCAAACAAGGATGCTAATTAACATTCTCCATACAATCTGATTTGCACCATCCCACAGATCTGTTATATTCTTGGTCCCATCCACCCCAGGCTTCATATTCTGTATTGTCTATCTCTGTCCCCCAATTTACACCATTTTGCATTATTTTAGCTTCATAATATGTTCTTATGTGTATTTTCAACTGTGCGCGCATGTGCCCTACAGAAAAGTTTAACACATTAACGCTCCTATCCATTGTGTTGTAGGCAGTTTCCTATATTAGGTATTTTTCTTCAAGCCAAGTTAATATAAATCGTTGGTTTTGGGGTCACACATACACTGGAGAATCTGATGAAAACTATGAAGTATCTTCCCCATGCTCCCCATACAGCTCTCTCTATAACTATATCCATACCTGCATTTATCTACATTCATATACCAAATTGTGCATATTATTACATGCATTTACAGACTCTGAAGTTTGTGCATGGACGCTGGGTTAACAACAGCTGAAATAAATATTCATCTATATTTATTCCAGCACCTATTACATTTAATTCTTTTATCCAATTGACATGCTTTGGGGGATTCTTTACAATACATCCCTAACAAATGTCCGGTATGATCCAAATGTCGTCCCTTCCCCGTAAGTATGTTAATATACGTGCATAGAGAAACAGGTAGAGGCTATAGAGATACCAACATGTTTAACCCTTATGGCTGGGTGGTTAAATGGAGTGATTCTTTGTCTACTCTTCTCTGTATGGATTTAAACATTCCACAATGAACAGATTTCTTTCAGAGACAAAGGCAGTGAGGGCATTTTGGTGGGATTCAGGGTGGCTAAGAAAGAGCCACGAGAGGGTTTCTCTTTTCCTGTCGCGGTAGAGATGATCATGGGGTCGGGAGAGATGAGGTTTGAACACCAACTGTTTGCACCATTGCACCAGCAGCCGAAGGAATTGGGCCCCGTCCCTCCCTTGGGACACAGGGCTTCAGTGTGTGCTGGGTCTGTGATGGGCCCATACCATGCTCCCTGAACAAGGGCCCTGTGTCTGCCACCATCCGACACAAAGGACAGAGGTCCCCTGTTTACTTTAGATTAGAAACGTTCAAATGCAGGACAGCAAAAACATTTGAGTTTTCCCTCTTTTCAGTTTCTTACAAAAAAACAAATTGTAGTGAATCGGGGACTTTTTGGCATCTTCCCTGAATAAAAATCAATCAGACTAGATTGCTGAGGGAGTCTTAAAGAGCTTCCCTTGTTTGTTTGTTTGTTTTAGATTTATGGCTTAAAAGCTAAGAAGTAGCAGTGACTGACTAGGCCCCTGAATCGTCCATTCATTTCCCAGGAAATGGGGCATTCCCAGTACCTTGGTCAGCTGGAACAAGTGCCCTTTGACCTTTTGCAACAAGCCCATTCTAGGCTGGAAGCACCCACAGATTCATGGCCACGCCTTGTCTTCCCTCCCTTCCGCCTAACCTCCCACACATTGCAACACTATTTTCCTTTCAGATACTCATTCAAATCCCCATCTCTTAGAAAATGAGACCCACAAAAGGATAGAAGTTTTATCAGGCAAAAGAGTCTTTCGATCATAAAAGTTAAGGTGGTCCTACCTCAAAAGACTGTCTGAGACTCCAGGGAATTCTTGAAGGCCACGGTGACATGGTCCGAATTTCATGGACTTTCGAAGGTTCTGGGTTCAGATCCCCGCTCCGGCACTAATGAGCCAGAGACAGCTTTCTGAACTTCTCTACTTGTCAATTTTCTTGCCTGGAGGATGGGGGTAATCATAACACTCAGCACAGAGAGCCCTCGGTGGAGATGACATGAGTGGTGTGTGTGATGGGTGTACTCAGAGCGTGAGGCCTGGAACCGCTCTGTGCACGGTGGGTGACTGAGGTGACCTGCAACTGTGGTCACCTCGTAGGGGATGGGCACTTGCCGCGTTCGCCTAGGTTGGGAAGATGGGGCTCAACCAGTGCACGCGGAGCCCCGGCAAAGCACAGCGTGAAGGGACAGTGGCGTTCTGCCTGATGCCGCCTTGTTCTGGGGTAGCTACCATCATATCCGGAACAGTCCGAGGGGCTGGACGGACAACCCTGGCGGAGGCGCTTTTGCACACACCACACCGGACCCTGCCCTCAGAGTCTGACGTCCTCTTCCAGCAGCGTGAGATGGAGAAGGGCCGCCTGCGATGAGAGGCGGCCCCACCAGGGGTGTGTGGTGTGCAAATGAATGGGATGGGAAGGGGGAAGGTGAGACACGAACTGATATCCTGATATCCGTGTGATCCTCCTCTGCCCGGTCACCAACATCAGAGGCAAATATCTGAAGTGATGTTTGCTTGTCACATTCCAGATCCAGAGAAATCCTCAATCAGCTCTTCTAGGGATGCTCTTCGGAGATCAGCCCCTGAGGATCTGACACAGAGCAAGGGAACAGCTAGCTGTCCAGGCAGGCGCACATTCCCACTTTCTTTAGCCACTGAGTTGTTACTGGCCCCCAGCAGGAACATCAAAAAAAAAAAAAAAAGTAAGCCAATTTTAAGATACAACTAAGATTTTAAGATATAACATAAGGATTTTAAGATATAACTAAGATCACACAAAGAAAACTCCTAAAACTTAAGCCATTCCATTACACTTGCAGAGTTCCAGTGGAAACAAACATTTCTTCTTAAAACAGGTAAATGAGCTATTTCTAGAACAGAAGTGACTGCTCTGAGAAATAACCAGAAAGCCAAGGTCAGTAATAAGTTATTTGGAGGTCCACGTGACAAGTGACAAGTTCAGTTTCTCTGGCTCCAGACTAACTCCAGAACCTTCTGCTGGTTCTCCTTCCCCTCCCCTCTGCTTCATTTCAGCTTGCTCTCCTGCTGCCCTGGCCTGCGCCTTACCCTGCCCGGCTCTCCACCCTCCTGCTGGTCTCTCCTTTCCCTCTTTCCCCTCACTCTGCCCCCTCGCCTTCTCCCTCTGTTCACCAACAACATGAGAAACTAAGCATTCCAATGATTTTTTATTTAATTCTAACAAGTAAGGTTTTAGATTTTGTCCTTAGTTTTAGGACAGTATGTTACATTTTATTTATTTGTTTAATCTACATTTAGTTGGCCTTTGTCCAGATGGGATTCACTTCATTTTTCCCTCTTTTAGTGTGTATGTCATTCTCCATTTACCACAATGACAACAACAATCATTTGACCTCTTTCCTGGTCTAAAAGATACTCTATGCTGTCATTTTATTTCTAACTCATATAACAGGATCTCTGGTTTTTAATATTTTTTTTCTTGTGAGCATTCATATAAACTTGATGGCACATGTTTGCAAATATAATAGTAAACAGCTCAGTGGAAGCGGGTTCCTGCCCATTACCCAGCCTTTACCTGTGTCTGAAAACCGCATCCCAGATCTAAGAGCAAGCATGCCTGCCTATGGTGTTTCTTGCCCGATCCTTGACTTAAGTATCACTAAGATCTGGCCTGCTGGCTATCACAGGCTTCTTGATGCCAGACAGGGATCTGCCAAGTGGCCTGCTTCTCCAGTTAGGTGAGACCTTGGAATTCCCCTGGACGGGACCTCCTAGGAGGGACAGGTTCTCTGGTATTGCTGTTGGATCACACTGAGGAAGATAATCAACACTTCTCTCTCATGGTGCTGCTTAAAAGAACTTCCGAATAATTATCTTATTTGATCCTTACCTCAAATATGTGTGGTGAAGCTACTGATGTAGCCCTGTTTTATAGATGTAAAAACTGAGACCCAGAGAGACTGAGTGATTTGTGTAGGGTCACACAGCCAGGAAGGGTCAAGGCAAGCATCTGAATTCTGGCCCCTGAACTCCAAGTCCAGGGCGTGGCACAGAGTGGGCTCAGTGAACATTTGCTCTCCTCTGACACCTCCCATCAGCTGAACGGAAGCCATTGCTTCTCTCTTAGAAAGCCATCTCTCCAGGAGAGGGCATTACCACCACCAGGACCCTCAGCAAAGAGGAATTAAAGACCCGGTCCTCTTGTGACATTTATTATTTAGATCTCAGAACTTTCTTGACCTCTTTGGGTTTTCCCTGCCAGCTCAGCTGATGAGACTGCCATTTTATGTAATACCTGCATGAAAAAGAAAGGAATTCCCCCATTTTTCGCAGAAATAACAGTCGGGCATCATTGTCAAAAATAATAGAAATGTTAGCAACCAGATTCACATGAGGACTATGTGGCCCTCCTGAACTGCATTTCACTCTCATATTCCACTTCATCCTCTCTATGGTTTTCTGGGTAACAGAAAGCTTTTTCTTTTTAAATAACAGCGGGATTGGCAAAATTGGGAATGAGGAGAAAACATGGAACCCAGTTAGAGAAGATGTGGAGTGTATGTAGAAGGGCTAATGGAACTGTAAAACTAGGAAAAAAAAAAAAAAAGAAAGAAAATGTGAGACTTGGCTGCATTATTTGTGGGGGTTCAAACTGGGAAAGGTTAAATACCACAATTTTTCCATTTGTTTTGCATTTTGACTCTGAAAAGAAAGCTGGCTTTGCCCATTTTTTATTTTTAAAAACTTGTAAAAAAAAAAGAGAGAGAGAGAGAAAGGAACAATTAAAAAAACAACAACTTTAAAACGTGACAGCCAAAAGAAGCTAGCTAGAGAAGTAAGTGACTAAGGGCGTGAGGAATGAGGAGCATGCCTCCCTTTGGGAGGGGTTCTACCTGTGTGAATCTTCACACACGGGAATCTTACTGCCAAACATGTTCTCACATGTATGGTGGTGGTGAATGATTTGAAAGAAATCGAAGTCAGAACAAAGAAGAGTCTGGAACATGTTTAATGATTTACCTCTGTAGAGCATTCTGAACAACCTAAAATCTGGGAGACATCTCTGAATTCCTTGCCTCTTGCACAATTCAGCCGGGCAGTAAGAACCAACACCTGTTTCCTTGGGAATGTCTCCAAAAGTCCCAGTAAGGTAAGAAATATCTAAACATGAAATTTAGTTAAAGTAGCCCTACTCACCAGGCTATGATCACAATGAAAAGGTCATCCTTCGAATTCATTAATAAACTTCTTACCCTTAACTACATTCTCAGAAAACACACACACACACACACACACACACTCTCTCTCTCTCTCTCTCTCCCTCACACCCACACACCCACACATACACGCTTCCATGCTACTGAGTCTAAAACTTTCCTAGTTCACTCCTACTCCCTTTCCTGGCTCAGCCTAAATGTCACTTCCTCCAGGCAACCTCCTCTGATTCCTCAGACACGGTCAGGGCCCCCCATGAACTCTGATAGTACCCTGCAGCCTTCTCAAGGGCACTCCTGGCATTTCCTTTTTCCCACCTCAGGGTGTTTTATCTGACTCCGCAGTGCAGTTATGGATGCTCTTCCATGCTACCCCACCCCTCACTAGGTTCTCTTGGGCTTATAAGTATCCTAGGGTGTGAAGTAGAAGGATCCCCAGAAGGATGTGGAGGCCATGGCCCTCTTGGATGTGAGTGGGAGCCAAAGTGGGCATTGGAACCATGAGGGATTGGGGCTGGAGGCACTAAGTCTGCCAACTTGGTCCCTTCAGTGGGCTTTCATGGTGAAGCTTAGGTAGAGAGAGTGGAACTTCCAGAAGAATGGGCTCCCACTGCAGGGACACGTGGATCAGGATAAGGGGCAGCTAAAGTGGGAGCCATCCAGCCCGAGCAACAGGGCCCTACCCCGTTTTCCTGGGTGGCATCCACTCCGGCGTAGCAGGACTTACCAGGGTGAACTTCATAAACCTGGGCAAGTGGATTCTTAAGCAATATATAATTTGACTTAGGAAAAGTAAAGGGGTCTTTTATCTAAATTCATAACTCTTATACTCATACCACAATTATAATTACATAAGGACTTCCCAAATTGTCAGTTTTATGTCTCCCTTCCCCTGTTAGAAGCTTACATACCTAGCACAGTCTGCAATGTGGTTGACTCTCAACAAATATTCACTCCACGAATAAGTGAATTAATCTTTGAAAAATTCCTCGATCTTCCAATAATAACAAACCCTCTCGCTGGAAACTTCTACCAAAGCAAAATCATAAAACTCCCACCACCCAACATGTTTTTAAGAAGTCTACATCAGCCCTGCAAGTCTAAAATCACAAATATTGAAAAAAGTTTTTTTGGTGTTTGTTTTTTTGTTTTTTTTTTTAAGTAGGAAGAATAAAGACATTTTTACCAAGAATGGGCCTCAGCCTTTCTGCACTAGGTATGTTTATCAAGGGCTCACCCTCTACTTCTGATGGGTCCTGCCAGACCACCCCTTTCTCTTGTGTTCTTCCAGCTTTCACCACCTGATCAAATGTCTCTAAAAGAATAAACCCAGGAAGGAGACTTGAGAAGCAAGCAGTGGACACTGGAGTTTTCACTTCTCAGAGAATGTACTGTGTGGAGGTCTCCATTCTACGAGGTTTCAACTGATGGGAAAGGCCGTGGTCCAATGGTTAGAAAAGTGTCTCCCGGGGGAGGGGAGGTGGGAAAGGGGGTCTCTTCATGCTGAGACCAGTGCAGCGACATCTGATGTGTAGAGACAAAATCAAGTCCTGTATACACAGCTCATGAAACGTGACAAGATAATAGCATTCTCTGAGGTTTGGACTCTATTTCTTCATGCCATTCATGCCCAACCCAAACCAAACAGTCCTATTTCACAGATTTCTGGCAACTTGCCTCTCTTTCTCCCTAATGACACATATATAAAAATAGGTATCCACAAAGAAATGACTTCTAGCTTTAAATGCTATTTAGCTAGCAGTGTATGAGACAGTCTCTCCCAACTTTTTTTTTAGTGATATTTATGAAAACAAAGAGGAAGACAAGAACTCAAAAAATACTAGAAACTTTGACCCAGTCAATGGCTTAACTAGATTTAGGAAGCATTTTCATTAACTCTAAAGTGGAACACATTAGATTGGTATAAACCTACCCAGGTAAAATCTCATGCAAGAGAGGTCAGTAGGAAGCCAGTTGCCCTACTTTTGATTAGAGACACAAAGATCCAAGGTCTATACCAAGTAGAACATGAGGAAGATCCTCACATGCCATGGAAGTGCTGCTTTTCGAGGGTGCTGATACTACATCTATTTGGAGGCAGCTCCTCCCAGGAAATAACTGGTCAGGAAGTGTGTGGGGAGGGATGGGAGGAAGGAGAACCAGCAATTTGCTATTCTATCCTGGGAGGTGCAATATTTACAAGTTAAGCGCTACGGGCAGGGGTGGGGACAGGAAGATCACTAATAGCAGTATATACTATCAGCGTCGGGTTTGCAGGTGACTCCTTGGGTCAGAGGAATAGAGAATTGGGTAGGTGAATGTGCTGGCTCAGGAGAATGGAACCATGGTAGGTGCTTGCCTGCTAGAAGCTGAAATTCGGTCTGGACACTGTGCAGATCAGCTTGTACTTCAGGTCTGAAAAGGAGAGGCTCATCCCAGAGTGGACTGAGAGTGTGGCCAAGACAATACGTGT